ACCAATATCCCTGATGAACATCAATGCAAAAATCCCCAATAAAATACTGGCAAACCGAATCCAGCAGCACATCAAAAAGCTTATCCATCCTGATCAAGTGGGCTTCATCCCTGGGATGCAAGGTTGGTTCAACACAGGCAAATCAATCAACGTAATCCAGCATATAAACAGAACCAAAGACAAAAACCACATGATTATCTCAATAGATGCAGAAAAGGCCTTTGACAAAATTCAACAGCCCTTCATGCTAAAAACTCTCAATAAATTCGGTATTGATGGAACGTATCTCAAAATAATAAGAGCTATTTATGACAAACCCACAGCCAATATCATACGGAATGGGCAAAACCTGGAAGTATTCCCTTTGAAATCTGGCACAAGACAGGAATGCCCTCTCTCACCACTCCTATTCAACACAGTGTTCGAAGTTCTGGCTAGGGCAATCAGGCAAGAGAAAGAAATAAAGAGTATTCAGTTAGGAAAAGAAGAAGTCAAATTGTCCCTGTTTGCAGATGACATGATTGTCTATTTAGAAAACCCCATCGTCTCTGCCCAAAATCTCCTTAAGCTGATAAGCAACTTCAGCAAAGTCTCAGGATACAAAATCAATGTGCAGAAATCACAAGCATTCTTTTCTTATACACCAGTAACAGACAGAGAGCCAAATCATGAATGAATTCCCATTCAAAATAGCTTCAAAGAGAATAAAATACCTAGGAATCCAACTTACAAGGGATGTAAAGGACCTCTTCAAGGAGAACTACAAATCACTGCTCAGTGAAATAAAAGAGGACACAAACAAATGGAAGAACATGCCATGCTCATGGATAGAAAGAATCAATATTGTGAAAATGGCTATACTGCCCAAGGTAATTTATAGATTCAATGCCATCCCCATTAAGCTACCAATGAGTTTCTTCACAGAATTGGAAAAAAACGCTTTAAAGTTCACATGGAACCAAAAAGACCCTGCATTGCCAAGACAATCCTAAGCCAAAAGAACAAAGCTGGAGGCATCACGCTACCTGACTTCAAACTATACTACAAGGCTACAGTAACCAAAACAGCATGGTACTGGTACCAAAACAGAGATACAGACCAAAGTAACAGAACAGAGCCCTCAGAAATAATACCACACATCTACAGCCATCTGAACTTTGACAAACCTGACAAAAACAAGAAATGGGGAAAGGATTCCCTATTTAATAAATGGTGCTGGGAAAATTGGCTAGCCATAAGTAGAAAGCTGAAACTGGATCCTTTCCTTACTCCTTATACGAAAATTAATTCAAGATGGATTAGAGACTTAAATGTTAGACCTAAAACCATAAAAACCCTACTAGACAACCTAGGCAATACCATTCAGGACATAGGCATGGGCAAGGACTTCATGTCTAAAACACCAAAAGCAATGGCAACAAAAGCCAAAATTGACAAATGGGATCTAATTAAACTAAAGAGCTTCTGCACAGCAAAAGAAACTACCATCAGAGTGAACAGGCAACCTACAGAATGGGAGAAAATTTTTGCAATCTGCTCATCTGACAAAGGGCTAATATCCAGAAACTACAAAGAACTCAAACAAATTTACAAGAAAAAAACAACCCCATCAAAAAGTGGGCAAAGGATATGAACAGACACTTCTCAAAAGAAGACATTCATACAGCCAATAGATACATGAAAAAATGCTCATCATCACTCGCCATCTGAGAAATGCAAATCAAAACCACAATGAGATACCATCTCACACCAGTTAGAATGGCAATCATTAAAAAATCAGGAAACAACAGGTGCTGGAGAGGATGTGGAGAAATAGGAACACTTTTACACTGTTGGTGGGACTATAAACTAGTTCAACCATTGTGGAAGACAGTGTGGTGATTCCTCAAGGATCCAGAACTAGAAATACCATTTGACCCAGCCATCCCATTGCTGGGGATATACCCAAAGGATTATAAATCATGCTGCTATAAAGACACATGCACACGTATGTTTATTGCAGCACTATCCACAATAGCAAAGATTTGGAATCAACCCAGATGTCCATCAGTGACAGACTGAATTAAGAAAATGTGGCACATATACACCACGGAATACTATGCAGCCATAAAAAACAATGAGTTCGTGTCCTTTGTAGGGACATGGATGCAGCTGGAAACCATCATTCTCAGCAAACTATCCCAAGAACAGAAAACCAAACACCGCATGTTCTCACTCATAGGTGGGAATTGAACAATGAGATCACTTGGACACAGGAAGTGGAACATCACACACCGGGGCCTATTGTGGGGAGGGGGGAGGGGGAAGGATAGCATTAGGAGAGATACCTAATGTAAATGATGAGTTAATGGGTGCAGCACACCAACATGGCACATGTATACATATGTAACAAACCTGCATGTTGTGCACATGTACCCTAGAACTTAAAGTATAATTTAAAAAAAAAAAAGAAGATACAAATGACCAATATCAGGAATGAGAAGGAAAACATCATTACAAATTGTAGAGATCTTAAAGGAATAATAGAATACCATAATTAACTTTATGCCAATAAATCCAACAACTTAGATGAAACAGACAAATTCCTTGAAAGATACAAACTACTAAAGTTCATTTAAAAAAAAAAAAAAAAAAGGAAACTCTGGATTTCCCCATATCTATTAAAGAAATCAGTTATTTAAAACCTTCCTACATAGAAAACCCTGGGCCTAGAAGGCTTCACCAGAAGGCTTAAATTCTATAAACATTTAAGGAAGGTACGATACCAATTCGACACAAACTCTGTTTTAAAAATTGAAGAAAGGGCCAGGTGTGGTGGATGAATCCCAGCACTATGGAAGGCTGAGGCAGGTGGATTACTTGAGATCAGAAGTTGGAGACCAGCCTGGCCAGCAGAGTGAAACTCCCTCTCTACTAAAAAATACAAAAATTAGCTGGGCATGGTGGCGCACACCTGTATTCTCAGCTACTTGGGAGGCTGAGGCACGAGAATCACTTGAACCTGAGAGACGGACATTGCAGTGAGCTGAGATCGCACCACTGCACTCCAGTCTGGGCAGAGTGAGACCCTATCTTAAAAAAAAAAATAAAAATGGAAGAGAAGCTAGGTGTGGTGGCCCTATGAAGATTTAAATAGGTTCATACACATTTAAAGCACCTAACTTAAAACAGTGCCTGGTGTATGGTAAAAAACTATAGAAGGAAATGCTAGCTATGATTACCACCTCTGGAAAATACGTAGTTCTTAACCTCTGTAGTTCTCAGATGATCTCTCAGTCCACGTTGAGAAGCATTTCAGCAAGTTAAACTGAATCTCTTTGAGAGTGCATACAGGGTGAAGTAAAGGCAGAGCCTGACACTTGAATCCTGGCTGCATCATTTACTAGCCAAGTGGCCCTGGGCACCTTACTTAGCCTCTCTAGACCTCTACCTTTGAAATCCTAAGATTGTTGTGAGGATTGAGTAACAGATTGCTTTTCTTTCCTCAATCTCCTACCAAAACCAGACTTGTTTTACTAGAATGCCTTCCAATCAGACTGGTCCCAGGACCAGCTACTCCAGAGACCAGGAGCAAATGCTGGTCCCAGGGGAGGTCAATACTGAAAGGTCAATCTTGTACTCAGCCCATGACTGTCCAGGGTATTGTCTTCCCAGAGGCCAGAATTATTTATCAGTATCAGGAGGGTGGCCTCTTAGGAATCCATGAAAACTCCTGGGATTCTGATGGGAATGGCCTGGGATCTCTCTAAAGGGCTTATGATCAATCTCCTTTTCTTCTACCCATTAGCTGGTAATATTTCCAAAGGTCAGTCCTGGAATTTCTAATCTTCTCTATTTGGGAGTTAATTACAATTTATAAACATGACTGCAAAAGTCTGTATTTTCTTTTTATTTTCTTTCTGAAAAGTATTTTCTACCCTAATATTTCATGAGAACTTTGATTCCTATTAAAATATGAATGTTCACATTTTAATATCCTCTCTAAATTGAAAGCACATCTACCCCTACCTCCCGGTGTACAATGTGGCTCCATATGAATTTTTCCCTGAAACTGCTGATGACCTATCCATATTTCTGAGTTCATCTCTGGCTTCTGGTTTCACCACTCTGACCCATATTTCTATTTTTAGGCTGGTCCCCCAAAACTAGAAGACTGTTCACTATCTGTTCTCTAGTGTTAGCAGCCACAACCATTCTGCACTGATCAAGGTTATTTACTCCAGAATCATCTTTGTTAAATCTCTTCTTCGTTCCCCATGTATTGTAGTAGGTTTTAGATATATGTTTCTCCTCTCTGGCTGCTCTAATCCAAACCTTAATCAGTTTACAGGACAACAGTGATAACTTTCTTGCTGGCCTCCCCCTTCACGCCTGTTCTACTCATAGCAACAGAAACTTCTTACTCAGGTGTTATTGTGAACATGGCAACAATTTTTAATTCTACTTAAACCAAACAATTTAAGTCTTGAAGACACTCCCCTACTGACTCTCGTCTAGTGGCTTTTATTTTTTGGCACTCTGGATCCAGGCTCACCAACATGGCCACCTGTGTTTTCTCTCATTACTTGTATAATCCTCAGTCTCAAGGCCCACATGCTCCTATTACATGATATGGTGCCTAAGAACATGGGTTATTGGGTCAGACTGCCTGGGTTAAATTCGTCATTCCATTACCTATCAGTTGTGAACCTCTGTCTGCCTCAAGTTTCCTCATGTAGAAAGGAAGAACAATGGCAGTACTGACTAGCCTTACAGGGTCGTTGCAAGGATTAGATAATCTATGCAAAGCACTAAAGACAATGTTAGGCACAGAATAAACACTCAGAAAGTATTAGTTACTACTGATCTCCTACTATTACTGCTTCATAACAAAAGACCCAGGGTCTGCTACATACTAGGTGATCCATAAGTCGAATCAAGGAATAGATACTCATTCTTGCTCCTAAAATTATTGAAACACTAGTGACAGGCACAGGTTTTAATCTAAAATTTTGACCTACCTTTAAATCTGAGTTGGCTGCAAATTTCTGTCCAATTAAAGCTGCATTTCCTCCTACATAGTGCTGTAAGAGAGTTCAAGGCTTTTAGACTGTATTTTAATACAACTGTATCACCCAAGTTTAATCATTTTTTATTTTAAAAATTAATTTATAGTCCATTTTCCCAAAGACATTTTGAGGTGATTTTACATCAAAGGACACACAGATGAAGTTAATGCAACAGAGAAACAGAAAGTGAGTAATAAGGTGAAGAAAATAAATAGGACAACCATGAAAATGAGTCTGATTGCTTTTAACTGTTGATCAAATTCAGCTCTGAGCTTACAGCCAGCCAGAAGAGACACAGGAAAGAGAAAAAGTGTGGACAGGGCTTATCTTCTACATTGTAGTCCTTCTAAAATGAAAAACTTCACTATCCTGTGGAAAATCATTGAGTAGATACTATAATGAACTAAAATCTAACTCTTGAGTGAGGCACATATGGCCTTTATCTAACCCATGCTTTCCTTACCACCTTCATCTCCTGCCCTTCCCTTCCACACCCTGCTTACAGCTCTCCAAGTCAGCCTTCCTGTCTCTGTGCCTTTGGCACATGCTGTTTCCTTCCATTAGGACACCCTCCCCTTCTCATATACTAGGCAAAACCCTGATCACTTTCCAAGAATCAGCTGCAGTGTCACCTTTTCTGTAATGCCTTCTCTGTTCCCCTTACCTCAATGACATTTCAGCCTTCACAACCACCCTCACCAGATAGGATTACAGATCTCTTCCTACCCCTATAACCTGAACAAACCTCTAATGCGGCTCTTGTCCACTTGGGCTGCTATCATCTGGGTACACAACTAGGTCCTTTGGGGCAGGGACTGTCTTCTTCTTATAAGTGTTCAGTAAATGTTTGTTGCTAAATTTTGAGAAATGAAGAAACACACTGATGTGTTGGGAAATATAAAGGTTTTCCTGGGAGTAAATTCTAAAGATAATAGGCCCCTAATATAGGACAGTACTTTCTCTTAAACACCACATCTCTCAGCTGAGGACCCAGAGAACAAAAATAATTCAAGGTTGGTGTTCCATGTTGCTAAGGATGGATCCATGCGCCTTGGAAATCTGACACATAACAGCTAAGGTTGCTGTTCTATTACAAAAGGTGAAAAGCCTAATAGTGTTACCTGGGTGGAATGCTACAATCCCAGCTTTCTAGTCCTCAGCCCACACAGAGGCATAGACTAAACCAGGGGTGTCCAATCTTTTGGCTGCCCTGGGTCACACTGGAAGAACTGTCTTAGGTCACACATAAAATACACTAACAATAACAGCAGCTGATGAGCTGTTAAAAAGAAGAGGGGGCAGGGGGTTAAATCTCATAATATTTTAAGAAAGTTTATGATTTGTGTTAGGCCACATTCAAAGCCGTCCTGGGCTGCAGACTGGACAAGTTTGGAGTAAACAATTCAGATGGTAGACATCACTCTTACGCCAATTTTGTGCTGACTAACCTCTGAATTCAGGTGGGACAGTAATAGCTTTTTAGAGATAAATTTGAAACTTTCTGTGATATGTAGGCTGAAATTTGGCCCTTTAACATGTCAGCCTTAATGTTTTATTTAACCACGATGGCTAGAATTTGCTAAAAAAAAATATTGGGAAAATAGTAAGATATCTACAAAGTAGATTTCAGAATTTTCATATAATGTTTATCAACCTGCCTTAAAAAGGCACTCCCCTAGTGAAAGGGGGTTTTATAATGTTACGAAATAACTTGGACCATCACAAAGCTAGATAAAGTTGCTGTAAAAAAATTTTTCATCAAGAAATAAAGGCAGAATCAAGAGAGAAGAGAAATCAAACTGGTGGTTTAAATTCCATAATCATAAAGACTTTTGAGCAGTGGACTCCTCATGTTAGAACTATCAAGATTCTCTCATAAGAGATAAGAATCTCACTACTGATCTCAGCTGTCAAAATGATAATAACTGAAATCTTAACTTGCTGTCTCCTTTAGAAACTCAGCTGGGTAATGCCTATGTCCATTTCTAATGTTCAAATAGGCAGCTTCAAAGACAAAAAACTTATTATTTTCTAAAACTTTTTGAGATAGGGTTGCACCCTGTTGCCCAGACTGGAGTCCAGTGGCACGATCACGGTTCACTGCAGCCTTGACCTCCTGGGCTCAGATGATCCTCCCACAGGCACATGCCACCATGCCCAGCTAAGTTTTTCTATTTTTTGTAGAGAAGGGTTTCACCATGTTGCCCAGGCTGGTCTCAAACTCCTGGGCTCAAGCAATCCACCTGCCTCAGCCTCCCAAGTGCTGGGATTACAGGCATGAGCCACTATGCCCGGCCTAAAATCTTAAGTCATCAAAAAAAGCAAACAAAGGTTTGCCTGTGAAAGGTGCCAATTAAAAATGGCATTAAGAGCGTCCCTGGCTAGAACTACCAACCTAGACTGGGTGCCCAGCCAAAAGAAGGTTTAAATGAGGAGGAAGAATGGGGTGAGGGCAAGACACGGGAGATAACCAAACAACCAAAACTTAGCCTCAGGAGGCATGAGGGTACATGCAGGAGCAGGCATACTGGGGTGAGGTAGGAAGAGCCATGGTTCGGTCTCCAGCCTCAGCACTGCCTCTTATTCCACGTGAACCTCCAGGAAGTGCCTGGACCATGCAGGCTTTGTATATATTCACCAGGTGAGCTTGGAAACCACTAAGGTTCTAACTCTGACAGGTTCTACCCTGCAGACCAGTGGTTCTCAAAACGAGATTCTCAGACCTACACGATCAACCAAGAAACTCATTGGAAAGGTAAATTATTGGGTCTCATCCCACATCTATTGAATCAGAACTCTGGTAGTAGGCCCAGAAATCTGTGTTTCAACAGCCTCTCCAAATGATTCTGACACATGCTCAAGTCTGAGAACCATCAACCTAGACCCAGTTTTCAACCAGGGGTGATTTTGCTCCCCTCCTCTTCAAACTGGAATGAAAAGTTGCTTGCTTGCTTCTAGGAACCATATGAAGAAGGCATCTTTTCCCACCCTTAATTTACTACTGCTGAACCAAACAGACCTGGGCTCCTGGGAACTCTGATGCAACCTGGGCAATGTCGTGAAAAGTTTCCTTATCACTGAAGAAGCGCTCAGCAGCTGCTCCCTTCCCCATGAAGTGAATGAAGGCTTCTTCCAGATCATTCCTTGAATGCAGAACGCTGTGATCTTTCCCATTCCCAGGACTAAGGCCAAGTGCCTGCAAGAGCTTCACCCCTGAGAGCACCACATCAACACATGCATTGACTCTGGAAGGAGGAAAAAAACTGTGTGAAAGCAGCAGAAGCACCAAGTAACCGTTTTGCATTTAACAAAAGGAAAATGTTTCTCAGAACCTTATTCAACAGAAAAACAGGGGAAGTAGATCTGAAACCTGGGAGAGGAAGTAGCACATGGCAGGAGAAAAATTACATTAACTGGATGTATGTATTAGGATCAGAACACAGGACTCCTCAATAGTATGGCAAACATTTACACTAGTTACACAGTGAGAAGACAGGTGCTTAGCATTTCAGAACAAAGCTACTGTAACAAAAATGTAACATTTCTGAGAAAACGCTGGCAGAGCCAAACTGGATTCATGCTGGCTGTGTGACTTGGGCAAGTCACTAATTTCTCTGTGCCTTGGTTTCCTCATCCACAAAATGGCAATAATATGAGCATTTAACTCATAGAGCTATGGTTAAGATTAAATATGTGAATGTATACTTAGGAACAGCAATTGGCAGAGTAAGCAAAATACGTGTTTCAGTCAAAGGCTAAGTATCAGGCATCTTCCCTCCAAAGACAAATGAGGATGGTGGCAAGATACAATAAATTACTAAATGCCGAGTACTCCCAGCTGAAACCCTGCCTCTTAGACTTTAGTGGTGGTTTACAGACTTAGGCACACCTGCGGCACTGTAAGAACTCACCCTTTGGCCAGTGTTCACAGGACTGACCCATGAACGTTAAAGACCTGCCACTCTTGGTTGTCTCGGTGGAAATTATAAAGTACAGGTTGAATCCCTTATCTGAAGAGCTTGAGATCAGAAGTGTTTCTGATTTTGGAATATTTACATATACATGAGATATCCTGGGAATGCGACTCACGTCCAAACACAAATCCATTTCACATATACTTCATACATATAGCCTGAAAGTAACTTTATACAGTGTTTTAAATACTTTTGTCCATGAAATAAAGTTTGTATTCCTTATGTGTGGGTGGAATTTTCACATATAAATATTTAATATACATCAGCAGCATCATGTCAGTGCCCCAAAGTTTTGGATTTCAGAGCATTTTGGATGCTCAACTTGTACTAAGGTTGTCTGGCATGGCCTCTCCTATGTGTGTATGGAGAAGGTCTGTCTTATATTTTCAGGGTTTCTTTGCTAAGTCATCCCTCTTTTAAAGAGAACGTTTATATAATTAAGGTAGTTAGATGAGGTCTTCCTGCCCCTACCCCTATCATGGTAATCTTTATTCCTGCCTCTGCCTATTGGGATGTCATTCTGGCCAGTGAGGTTGGATTACCATACAGACAGCTTCCAACCGGCCAACTGAGACGGCCCCTAATGATACGGGTGACTGGGCTTCAGAGTTAATTCTGACCAGCTCTGAAACCACAAGGTAAACTCACTAATAAAAATGTCCCAATGGATGAAATTTTGGTGTAAAATGCATAGTTATATTTCCCTTTTAGTCTCTTTCAAAAATGAAGAGGAATGAGACTGGGATGAAGAGGAATTTTACCAGGTATATTCCTACTTTTAACATGCATGTGTTCCTTTTATAATTTTTAAAATGACATAACTTTAAAAAGGTTTGTATGCAGACTAGATATTATTTACATCACTTAAGGAAGATTTACAAGGGCAAGGAAGAGAAATCCTCCCCCAAGACACAACCAGACTGCATCTTCATTATAAGGGTCCTTTTTATTAATTCTTCCCCTAGGGATTCATGTTTTGAAAGGAGTTTTGCCTATCAAATAGCATTTAAATACTCACAGTTTCTTGTTCGACATACATAATGACTCTGGTCAACTGGAGAAGCATAACCTAAGAGTTACTACGCCTTTCAGTGCATAAAACATCTAGCTACTCTAATTATTTGGATCTTCTCTTTAAAAGAGGGATGATTTATAGCAAAGAAACACTGAAAATATAAGCCAGAACTTCTCCATGACACACACAGAAGGGGCTATTCTGGACACGCACGTGGCAGTTGCTTAAAAATATGTTTAAAATCTTTCCTTTCACAGCCTTCAATGTAAAGAAACCAAACACACCTTGCAAACTGTCTCAGTTTTACCTCAGACATGGTGCCCTTTATTTCTAATGAATGCAGCATTAGATTGGTAGGTAGAATCAATAGGAATACAAGTATCTCTGGCTTTCAGATGCCAGTAGGTTCCTAAGTTTCAGACAATGAGGGCTTGAGTAAGGAGGGATACCATTTCCTCCAGACAGCCCAGTCTAAAAATTGTATCCAAATGGATTTGGGTCCCGAGTCTGAAGAGTGAAGGTTCAGAAATGGAGGGAAATCTGCCTTTGAAAATAACTACTTCAAAAACTATAAACACCCTCAAGCCTGTAATCCCAGCACTTTGGGAGGCTGAGGCGGGTGGATCATGAGGTCAGGAGTTCGAGACCAGCCCGGCCAAGATGGTGAAACCCCATCTCTACTGAAAATACAAAAATTAGCTGGGCATGGTGGTGGGCACCTGTAATCCCAGCTACTTGGGAGGCTGACGCAGGAGAATCGCTTGAACCCGGGAGGTGGAGGTTGCAGTGGGCTGAGACTGTGCCACGGTACTCCAGCCTGGGTGACAGAGTGAGACTGTCTCAAAAAACAAACAAACAAACAAAAACTATAAACACTCCACTCTCCATATCTAGTACTGCTGAGATTTTAAACAGTCTGACTCCTCAAAGATGAGAATGGGGAAAGCTGTTCAGTATATTTTGTGACACAAGGCAAAACCCAACAGAACTAATTTTGAGTTACAAAATATCACTATCATGGAACATTTTCCATCCCTCACCTAATCACATCAGGAATACTGAGGGAAAATAACCAGTTTCTCAGACTGGTTCATGGTTTACTTGATAACTTTTTATAATTAAAAAAACCAGGCTGAGCACAGTGGCTCACACTTGTAACCCCAGCACTTTGGGAGGCCAAGGCAGGTAGATCACCTGAGCCTAGGAGTTCCAGACCAGCCTGAGCAATATAGCAAGACCCCATCTCTACAAAAAATACAAAAATTACCCAGGTGTGGTGGTGCACACCTGCAGCCCCAGCTACTCAGGAAGCTGAGGCAGGAGGATCACCTGAGCCTGGGAGGCAGAGGTTGCAGTGAACCAAGATGGTACCACTGTTCTTCAGCCTGGGCGAGAGAGCAGGACCCTTTCTCAAAAAAACACTGAACATCTACTACATGCTAGATGCCAAACGAGTACTTTACATGTACTTTCTTGTTCTGTTTTATAATACTTTAACCAGAATAAGAATCTTTCTCTGCACTTTCTCAACTCAATAGCATCCCAAAATGTAAAAAGCATTATTACCTAAGATGTTGTATTATCAAGGGGAAATAAAGGGAGACACAGTTAAAGAATCAGAAAACAAAATTATGCTCATCTGACATGCAAGCAGAATCTCACACATCAGTAAAAAATGTGTATTAGATGACAGTGTGATTTTGGAGAAAACACAGACGAAACAACTGGAAAATAGGTCAAGACAATAGATGCTGAATGTCAAAATGGGCTGGGGGGGCTGGGAAAGAGGGCATAGTTCTCCCGTCTAGACCTTAAGTGCCTCTAAGGTAAAGATGATGTTTCCTATCTCCTCCCTTCTGTTTCATCACCTGTAAAATGTTTTCTAAGGTTTTCTTTTTTTTGAGACGGAGTCTCGCTCTATCGCCCAGGCTGAAGTGCAGTGGCGCGATCTCGGCTCACTGCAAGCTCTGCCTCCTGAGTTCACACCTTTCTCCTGCCTCAGTTTCCCGAGTAGCTGGAACTACAGACGCCCGCCACCACGCCCGTCTAATTTTTTGTATTTTTAGTAGAGACGGGGTTTCACCATGTTAGCCAGGATGATCTCGATCTCCTGACCTCGTGATCCACCTGCCTTGGCCTCCCAAAGTGCTGGGATTACAGGCGTGAGCCACCGCGTCCGGACATTTTTCTAAGGTTTTCGCTAGTTTTACATTATGTGCATCAGCTGTTATAAGAGCTAATCATAATCGTTAAGACACAGAACTGTAAAGAGACGGGAAAAAAAAAGGCAGTGGTCCCTGGGCTGAACCCTAGCTCCTGCATCTAGACAGAGAAAGGCGGCTGATCTTTAAGAAGCACTCCATGCTAGGCAGGCATTTTCAGATAGATTAAACCTATTTGCAAAATGCTGTAAGATTGCTAAGTAGTCATCACTGCTTTTAGCTAAGAAAAGTGAAGTTGTGGATTAACTAACATTTCAAAAGCCACAGACAGGCGGATCTGAAATTCAAACCCAGATTTATCTGATACTGAAGCCCACGTAGGAAGTACACACAAGCAAAATTGTTCACAAAGGGATTAACCTTGTGTTTGGATACAATAAAGAATGATCTAGCTACAATGGAGAATTCATACAGGGGAGAAGACCAAGATATGTTTCAAGGGTAGGGGTGAAGCCAGTTCCAGAGGCAATAATTAGCATAAGGGTGTTTTGTTTTTTGAGACGGAGTTTCACTCTTATTGCCCAGGCTGGAGTGCAGTGACACGATCTCGGCTCACCACAGCCTCCATCTCCCGGGTTCAAGCGATTGTCCTGCCTCAGCCTCCCGAGTAGCTGGGATCACAGGCATGCACCATCACGCCCGGCTAATTTTGTATTTTTAGTAGAGATGGGGGTTTCTCCATGTTGGTCAGGCTGGTCTCGAACTCCTGACCTCAGGTGATCTGCCCACCTCAGCCTCCCAAAGTGCTGGGATTACAGGCGTGAGCCACCATGCCTGCTGGGTTTCATCATTTTTAAACCAATGAACAACAGGTACCAGAGTCTGATTTAGAAGCAGGGGAAGTTTCCTAGAAACACCTTAAACACCTTAAAACTCCTATCCTTTACTTCTTTGACCCCTTTCCACCAGCCCCTTAAGTGCCTTCCAGAATTCCACCTTTACCATTTTTACCTTCTCTTCTTCTCTTCCTGGGTGATCCTATACAGTCTCTGGCTTCAACCTAAGTACCAGTGTCTCCAAAATTTGCAATCCTGTTTCTCAATATATTCCTAAAAACCAGCTTCTCATTTTCAGTAGCTGACAGAGAAGCTTCATCTGAAATCCCATAACAATGTATGTATATTTCTCCTCTGAAATCCAATTTATCTTTTTAAACTTGTTGTTCTTAAATCTCTCTTAATGGCAATAACATGGCATCAACCAGGAACCAGAAATGGGAAAGACCAGGCTTCAATTGCTCCTCTGGCACTTGATAGCTGCAAGATCTTGGGCAAATAAATCAATGTGTGAAGACTTGGTGATAATGTCTGTTATCTGCCTGCCTCATAAAGTTGTTGCACTGGTCAATTTTCATAATGGTATAATGATTGCCTGGGGCTGAGTAATGTATAAAGGCCAGGGGTTTAATTGACTCACAGTTCAGCATGGCTGGGGAGGCCTCAGGAAGCTTACTCATGGTAGAAGGGGAAGGGGAAACAAGGCACCCTATTCTTCAGGTGTCAGGAAGGAGACGTGCCGAGCGAATAGCAGGGAAGAGCCCCTTATAAAACCAAAGGATCTCATGAGAACTCACTCACTATCAGAACAGAACGGGGGAACCGCCCCCGTGATTCAATTACCTCCACCTGGTCTCTCCTTTGATTAGCTTATGGGGATTACAATTCAAGATGAGATTTGGGTGGGGACACAAAGCCTAATCATATTAGTTGTTACATTTAATACTGGGCTGGGTGAGGTGGTTTACAGCTGTAATTCCAGCACTTTCAGAGGCCAAGATGGGAGGCAAGGCCTGAGCTCAGTAGTTCAAGACCAGCCTGAGCAACTTGGCAAATCCTGTCCCTACCAAAAATACAAAAATTAGCTGCGCGTGGTGGTACATGCCTGTAGTTCCAGCTACTTGGGACACTGAGCATGACAGGTGAAGGCCATAGTGAGCTTGATCATGAAACTGCACACTCCAGTCTGGGTGACAGAGCAAGATGCTGTCTCAAACAGAAAACAAAAACTAAACAAGATATCCAATACTAAAAACCTGTCGTTTTTGACTGCCTTTCTTTACTCCACCACATCCAACCTATTATTCAGGTTATCTCTCAAATCTCACCTCTTCTACATCATTGCCAAGTCTGGTTCAGGCTCCTTTCTCCCTTTACACAAACCCTACAACGGCCTCTTATACCAGTGTCAGAGTCTCAAGATATTCCTCCTTATGAATCACATTAAATTGCATTTTGAGTGTGTCTGTGTGAGTGTGTGAATACGTGTGTGTCTCTAGAGAAGTCAAACTACAACCTCAAAATGAGATTCTGATACAAGTACTGCACCTGCTTCCCCTCATCCCTCCTAAATCCCCCTATCTTTGGGCTAAAAATCCTCTTTGGGGCCGGGTGCAGTGGCTCACACCTGTAATCCCAGCACTTTGGGAGGCCCAGGCGGGCAGACCATGAGGTCAGGAGATCGAGACCATCCTGGCTAACACGGTGAAACCCCGTCTCTACTAAAAATACAAAAAATCAGCTGGGCATGGTGGCGGGCACCTGTAGTCCCAGCTACTCGGGAGGCTGAGGCAGGAGAATGGCATGAACCCGGGAGGCAGAGCTTGTAGTGAGCCGAGATTGTGCCACTGCACTCCAGCCTGGGCGACACAGCCAGACTCCATCTCAAAAAAAAAAAAAAATCCTCTTTGGGAAATAAATGATGAGAAGCAGTGAAACAGGTTAGAACCACTGCTCAAAATCCACCCTTCACATTCCCACCAATTCTCAACAAAGAACTTGTCATCAGTTAACTGCTTATAAGCCTTCATGGCTTCCCCATAAAAAGCCCTTCACAATCTGGTCCAACCCTTCGTTCTCAGCATCATCTCTTTACAACCCTCTACCATAAGATTCTTGCTCAAAAACAAGGCTGACCTGTTCCCAAACCAACCATGTACTTTTTCACATTTGGTTCTCTTGCCTAGGTGGACCTGTTCCCACTTTGGCTTGGAGAAATCTCATTTCTTCTTTAGTGTCTGTCCTATGAAAGTCACCGTAGTAAAATATATTTTCCAAGATGGTCGCAATAAGATGTCCCATTCCACATGTTCTTTTCACAACGTGACACGGATGCTCCTCCCATCAAGGTTTGTTCTATGTCCCCTCCCTTAAAACCAGGTGCACCTGTGACTCTGGTAGAAGAGTTCCTATGTGCTTCTAAGATTAGGTCGTAAAAGGCATTAAGGCGTCTGCCTGGTCCTCGTGGGATGTTCCTCTTCTAACCATAATTGTTATAGACTGAACTGTCCACCCCCCACCAATTCATATGCTGAAACCCTAATTCCCAATGTGACTATATTTGGACATGGGGCCTTTAAGGAAGTAATTAAGGTTAAATAAGGTCACAAGGGTGAGCCTTGTTCCAAAAGGACCTAGTGTCCATATAAGAGGAGTGAGAGGCACCATGAGCGTGCATGCGCAGCCTAACAGTGAAAAGTCAGCTGGCTGCAAGCTAGGAAGGGAGGCAACATCAAAAACCAATCCTGCCAGTACCTTGATCTCGGACTATCAGCCTCCAGATCCGTGATAAAACAGATTTCTGTTGTTTAATCCACCTAATTTGTGGTATTCTGTTCTAGCAGTCCAAGTACACTGATAACAATAATACGTGTTTTTCCAATAAGTGAGGCGGGGACCTTGCTTCACCCATCTCTGTATCTTAAGAACCTAGAACAGACCTGACACTAACCATGTAGCTGCTGAATATCTGCTGAATGAACGCACATAAAGCAAGGAAGGACAATTTAATCCCAGCACTTTGGGAGGCCAAGGTGGGAGGTTCGCTTGAGCTCAGGAGTTCGAGACCAGCCTAGGCAATATAGCAAGACCTCGACTCTACTAAAAAAAATAAAATAAATAAAAAATTGGTTGGGCGTGGTGGTGCTTGCCTGTTGTCCCAGCTACTCCAGAGGCTGAGGCAGAAGGATCTCTTGAGCTTGGGAGGTCGAGGCTGCAGTGAGCAGTGATTGCGCCACTGCACTCCAGCCTAGGCGACAGAGAGAGACCCTGTGTCCAAAAAAATAAAACAAAAAAAATTATAGCTAATATCGAATGCTTTTTAAAGCAAGCACCATGCTAGAGAGATTACATGAATTATGTCATTTAATCTTTAGGACAAGTTTGCTCTACTTTACCCCTCCCAGTCCCAACACTCCACAGAAAGTAGTAGTCTACATGGTAGAGGGCCTGCTTTTATGTGGTGGTTATACATAACTCTGAGGTCATGGCAAGAAAGTCAAATTGAACTGAGACAGAGACTAAAGTTAGTGTTTACAATATCAACACTATAAAGGGAATAATTACATTCCCAAGGAAAAGTACAAAGAAAGGAGGCACTGGGATTTGGAAGAACCTTAAATATGCAATGTCACTGAAGTCAGGGGAAGAAAAGAGTTTCACGAAGAAGGACGTGTTCAATGCATGGAAGGCTGCAGAGAGCAGATAATGAAGACTCAAAAAGGCAAATCAGAGAGGAGCTGCAGTACAGTCGTGTGGTTTCTAGACTACACGGCGTTACGAAAGCAAGTGGGTAAAGGCAGAAATCACTCGTCTTCAAGAAGTTCAGAAGAAAGAGGAAGACGAGTGTTGTCAAAGTGGGTAAGGTCAAGTATCTTTGACTGCAAAACAACAGTCGCCAGAAGAGAAGGGGCTAAAAGTTGGAACGAGGAACAAGGCTCGGAGAAAGGTGTCAGACAAAGAGGGATTAGCAAGAAGCTGTTAGGGCTGGTCCTACCGGGATCAGAGAAAGGTGCAGAGGCCAGCCGAGTGGAAAGAGCAGCGGTGACGAACCGGGTTCCACTCAGACGTCCGACGCTTCTCGCCAAGGGGCCAGCGCGGACAGCAGCGCCTCCCGGGGACCTCTGGGAAGCCCTGTTTCTGGGCGGCTCCGCCCGACCTCCAAGGCGGACCTCGGAGGTTCAGAGACCCAGGCCCCGCTGGCACTCACCCCACTGCCACGCGGCGCCAGCGCCGGACTGGCCGCACGATAAGGGCGTCCCAGGCTGCCGCCAACCGGCCCTCAGGGGAGACGGGTCCTGGGGGCGCCGGCGCGGGCCCCAGACACAGCGAGCTCCACAGAGAGCGCAGCGCCGAGCCTGGCAGCTCTGGCTCCAGCAGGAAGACGCAGCCCACGGCCAGCGCCAGGAAGCCCGCGTACGCGGAGCCGCGCCACAGTGCCATGGGGACCAAGGCGCCGCAGCTGCGCGAACTGACGCCTTTCCTAGTCCGCGCCTCTTCCGGGCTCGGCGCGCGCTGATGTTGACACAAGTACTACGTCAAAAGGGCGCGCCACCGGCTCCCCAACGGGAGGGGCGACGGGCGGTGCCACGACGTAGCGGGTGGGGAGCCCTCGGCTCAGTCCGAGTCCCGGCACTGCGGTGTTGCGACCCCGGAGGAGGTGCGACAACGGCAGTTGTGCCAGTCCGGGCGCTGCACCCCCTTCCCGGAACTCTAACCGTATCCCCAGATAGAGGGATGGGAACACATTTGCTTTCCCAGTAAAACGAAACGGACAGATTGTGAAGAAGCGGACAAACCTCGCGTTAATATTCGAACCAGTGTACCCATTGGCACAGATCACACCCTCATCTTTTAATCCCTCCGTCCGCCCCGTGTCCCCTCATTTACTAGACTCGTCCTCTTCCAGGCCTGGTGCTCGGCGCTTCTGAGAGGAGTAGGCTCACAGAACAACAGCGCTACCGAGACCCCTGGGGTACGCGAGGCAGGGGGATTCCGCCCCTTTGGAAGGTGGCCGAGACCCTCAGGCACTAAAGGACTTCGTCGAGACAGGAGAGCCCGCAGAGATCGGCAGAGATCGTCCTCTTCTGGATAACCAGAGTCCACAATCAAACCTTAAAATAACCCTTTTGGGGGCGCTGTTCCCTTTAACAAACTGGAAAATGTACACAATCTTGTGCACAACACGAGAGTTACGGACCTGGGTTAAGGAACGTTGTTTTCTTTTGTTCCCCCTTGGTGACATCACTTAAACCCAGCTCTCTCTTCGTTGATATGACTTTTCTGTGGATGAGGCTAGGTTGAGAGACAATGAAGCTAGGCTTGGTACCAGCTCATTCTCAGCAGCCATCATGCCCGGCCTAGTCTTGTTCCCTGGCCTGTTTCCACTTTTCCAGCTCTGTTGGCTCCTGATGTTGGCTTTGTGTCCAGTTTTCCAGTGTGACCCTGACGTTTGGAGTTGGCAGCGACACTTTATTTCCCTAACTTTGATCTTGGGCATTAGTCTTCATTCTCCTCAGCCCCACCTCATCAGCTTTTCTCCATCCTGGTCATCTACCTTCCCTCAGTTGATCCTACCTGGCCTACCTGACCATGCCATCCCTTTCGACAAAGATATTCACACAGGAAGAGATCTGGGCTACCTTGGAGAAGAAGCCAAAGAGCCAGTGAGATATTTGTGAAGCCATGAAAGCCATCTTCCCTAGAGTTGCCTGTCACTTCTCTCTCCTCAGGGAGACATGTCAGTCAGTTCCTAGAGAAACTGCTCCTTATCACAACCCTCAGCTGTCAGGTTTCCCTGGCACCCAGAGGGGACTGAGCCAGCAGCTGACCTGAAAACAGCGAGTCTGCTGACTGTCCAGCGACCATTTTCCTCTATTGAGAATTTTAACCAAGTGTCTGGTGTCTGCAGTTATTTGATATTGGCTGTGGACCCACAGTCACACAAGGCTGAAGGTCAGAACCAGTTAAATATGTTTCCAAGGTGAAGTTTTGGGGAGCACAGGAAGCTGAACTGTGGGAAGGCCATAGAACAGACAGTAGATCTAGTCCTAGTCCTCTAGGAGGACTTTTGATTTAGTCACAGAGACGAAACAATAGCAGTTGAACCAAGTGGATGTTTATTTCTCATGTAAAAGTCTAAATGGGGTGTTGGCATGTTGTGGGCTGTGGCAGCAAGCTTGGCCTCCTCTGGTTGCTATGGGGGCTGCTCTGGGCCTCTTGCTGGTTGGTCCCTCAGTATGGGTTTGCATTGTGGGTGGTGAAGGGGCCAGACAAGGAAACGAGAGGGCTGACCTCAATTCCAACTGAGAACTGAAGAGTCAGGAGCCACAGGAGGCGAAGAACAGACCATCAGGGACAGTTGCCAGGCCTGGTGGAGCCTGATGTGGCTTCTGGTCACATACATAGTCACAGGGCCCTTAATTCCTTCTCATCAGGGGCTCAGGGGCAGGCATTCACTGTCTTGGTGCCACAGTCCCTCTTGAAATATTTCCTTAATGAAAATCAGAAAAGATTCTGATCATCTGTCTGTTCAGAGAGTCTGGAATCCTTTGCAAGCCAATTGTTTTTCTGGAAGTTAGGTTTCTGGGGACAATTAAAACAGCTCTGAGTGGGCAGCTGTGGCTTCATTGCCTAGGTTGAACAAAGAGGAAAGGGCTGGGCTGGGCAGACCTCAAGACACCCCCTGCCCCCACCCAAATGGCTTCCAGACATGGCCTTTGCTATTGGTTCTTTCTCCTAGGACCTTGAAATGAGAGACAAAAAGCAATTTTGTTCTAGAAAATTCAGAGGCAAATGGAGGCTCCAGGTGTCCCACCCAAGATCCTGACCTGGAAGGCCAGGGAGCAGATACTGTATTAACACAAAGACTTAGCAGAATCCTGTCAGCTTCCAAATTAGCTGAAGTTTTTGGCTTTAACAAAAACACCCACCCCCACGATCTGAAAGGCCTGAAGGGGCACATTTGTTCCCACATGTAGCAAAAACTAAAGTGGGCCCAAACAGTCCCTGTGAAAGCTGGGCTAACCCACTTTCCTTGCAGCTCCAGGCCTCTGCGGTTTCATCCAAGCTGCTCTTTGAAGGCCACACTGTGTCAAAGCCTTTGTTGATGCCAGGGACATAGCCCACCACAGGCCATACCCAAAGGCCAGAGTCAGAGCACAATTTTGAAGGTTACAGAAAACTCCAAAGAAATTAAAGAGATGGAATAAAGGATCCCAGCACCCGAAAAGAGAAAGCTTTGTGTCTATAACCATAGCCCTTGGCAATCAGACATCCTCCTCACTCATGTGAGGTCAGGAGGGGACTAGAAGTGCTCAGAGGATGGACTGCCTCTGGCCAGTGCAGGGGAGAGACAGGGGTGTTGAGGCACAGGAGCCAGATGAGAGGAACGTCAACAGCAAAGCAGTAAGAAGAACATGAGAGTTTCTTGATAGTAATAGAACTTCCTACACAGACTGGGAACCAGGTTGTAGCTTGAGGGGATGTGACAACATAGTGGCCTGGAATTTTCACTTTGGAATTAACTGCTTTGGACCAGGAAGAAGCGCTGAGCCTAGAAAGGCAGGAGGCACGGGACTGTGTGGGCTTCTGTCTGGCCAGGACCTATGAGCTTCATAGGGAAATGAATCAGGGGGCAGGATAAAGCATAGGCCTCCACCCTTACAGTGCTCTCTTAGCCATCTCAGGCTTCCTGGAACACTGCTACCAGGCTGCTTGCTGGAGCCCTTTACACTCACAGGCCTTCCTGCTTGCATTCTCTTCTGCAGGCTGCATAAACCAGTCCTGTTGTAGACCTTGTAGCATCTGCTACAGTGATCTGGTTTGGGTTTTGGTATTACTTGCAATGGTTTGGAAGGAAATGGGAAGTTTGCCTTCTAACTACATTTTCTTTTTGATTCAAGAACCCTAGCAGTTCTACAACCACTGGGCCTAAAGCTAAAATAAAGGAAAAATAAATAAAAGGTAGCAAAAACACCTAACTGGTATGGCCTGGCAGCATTGCCAGAGAGAGTCCTCAGGGACCCAGGCTTGTCCTGTCTTTTGCTCTGCCATCCCTAGGACAGCACAGAAGAGGCAGTACATCTTAACAAAATCGGGTTCTGGAAGAAGGGAGAGGTGGTGAATGGTTGTTGCAAGCAATCAACAGTTCATACTTCAACGGAAAGAAGGTGGGATTTGATTCCTTGTTGCAAATCTTCACTCTGTCACCTGCTATCTGTGTGTCCTCAGGTAAGTCACTTAACTTTTCTGTTCTTCAGTTTCCTTATCTGCAAAATAATTCCTACTTTGCAGAATGGTTGTGGGAGGTAGAGTTATCTTAAGACAGTCTAGCACAGTGTCTGCTACATGTTGGAATTCAAAACACTCCCTGCTGTTGCTATGGTTGGTTCTGAGAGCTATATTTAATTTTCTTCTTAGTCTTTCTTGCTGGTCTGTCACTCTCTTACTATAAGGAAGACAGCCATTTCTGCATAGGTCACTATGCAGTAGCCTTTTCTATTTTTTGGCTGCTCAGCATCTATATAATATCCCACTGAATGAAAATACTAAAATTTATCTATTGTACTATGAATAGACCATTTGGAGTTTTCCCAGTTTTTTACTATTACAGTGTGGCTGTGTACATGCTGTGTTACATGTGTATAGCCATTTCTTCAGGGTAGAAACTAAATAACATTTCTGGGTCAATAATATGCCTGTCTTGAACTTTACTATATAATGTTTGACATCTTTCCAAAGTAGTATGCCAGTTTATCTTCTCACTGGCAGCAGATGAGAATTTCTGTTGCTCCAGCTACATACACTCCAACAGATTCTTAAAGCTTTGTCGTTTTGTAGGGTGTGTAGTGGTATCTTACTGTGGTTTTGACGTTTCTATTTGTTGGTTAGTTGCAAGTATATTGCCTCCCTCCCAGTCATTATTCATTCTCTTTATAATGTCTTTAGTGAGTAGAGTTCTATGAAAAATTATTCTTATTTATGTATTTTTGTAGAGATAGGATCTCTCTATGTTGCCCAGGGTGGTTTTGAACTCCTGGCCTCGAGAGATCCTCCTGCCTTGGCCTCCCAAAGTGCTGGGATTATGATTGTGAGCTACCATGCGCAGCCTTAAAGTTCTTAGTTTTTTATATAGTTAACATTTTGTTCTTTTTTTTATTACTACTTTCCCCTTATCATTGGTGCTTTTTGTTACTTATTTAAAAAATCTTCCTGTACTCAGGATCATGCTGGTATTTTCCTGTACAACCTTCTAAGAGCTATAAGCTTTCACATTTCATGTTTAGGTATTTAATCTACCTTGGAATTGATTTTTGTGTGTTGTGAGAAGAATGCTTATAGATACCCAATTTACCCAGTGCCTTTTACTGGTCATTTCTCAATGACTCTGCATTCCCACCTCTGTCCAATACCACGTGTCTATGTATGTGTGGATCTGTTTTGGGGCTCTTCAATCTGTTCCATTGGTGTATTTGTTTATCAG